CCCTTTCTTATCAGGATCAAAGGTACAGGTGAAGACTTTGTTCTCTATCTTTACAGAAGTCTTCGAAGCCATCCTGGAAATCTTTCGGACACTTAACTTACATCTTGGAAATCTCCAGCATCTCCTCGTGTTTTATTGGTTATTTTAGCTTGATTGTCACACACTATGGTTGAACCCTTTTTTTTTAAGAAACTAATATTTCATTGATAGCATAAAATATACAAAAGGTTCCCAAAATCTAAATTACAAAGAGACCTTCCAGTTTGTTTTCATTAAGATTATAATTTGTAAATGTAGGCAAATTCATTAACAATCATCGAAAACGTACTATGGAACAATTGAATGTCCAATTTTTACTTGGGGTTCATATTTATAAGTTTTTTTTCACGCCCATTTGGGTTTCTCATTTTCTTTGTGGATGCCACCCTTGTATCTCTCTCTTTCATTTTTCTTAATAAAATTCGGTTCCTAGTCAAGAACCAAAGTCGCTAATTTTAGGTAGCAACTAGTTAACAAACTCTCCAATCAATGGGTTTTCCCTTTTTTGTATGAAATATTAGTTTCTTATCAAAAAGGAAAAAAAAAATAATAACTAGTTACCATACCAGATAGCTAAAATTATAATGAGTTGAAGAGTAAACCTTGCGGAATGTTGGCACGAATAACTTTAAGACTGTAACGAACAGTGGCACCTACGAGGACAAAAACAGGCGAGGGAGGTTCAAGTGACATTGCCTCTGCCACAGTCAGAACAATCTTATCGGCCATGTGCTTTAAATGTGGTTCAAGCAAATGGACAGAAACTACTTCATGGCCAATTTCAATTCCTCTTACAACAAACAGATCAGAAAATACGCCCTGCATCATAAGTCAAGAAATATAAATAATTATAAAAGTTAAATTTCAGTTTTCTTAGGCCAGGTCTGAATCAAGGGGTAAATCCTTAACATCAGCAGCATACATACACTATCTTCCAGTTTTATTTGAATATTCAAGTCTCCACATAACCCACCACAGTCACTAAGTGGAGAATCCTTCAAGGGAAGATGAGCTAGGTGATGGGGGGATCCATGAGTTTCAGGTATCAGATGCCACAAAAATTGTAAGCCCACTAATGATGAAAACACATTTTCTGCAAAGTGAATGGAAAAACAATTCAAAATTTCATCCAAATAATTGAAGTTAATGAAATTAGGTACAAAAATATAATGTGAATATCTTAAACGTGCTAAATCAAGAGAAGCTGTGAGACTAATTTAAAGCATCCTGAATGAATATCAAGATCAGATATTTTTTAGTGTGATACGTGCTAAAGCACATTAGTCTGGTCTTACAGCTGAGGGAGAAAATGAAAACATGAAGTGCACAATCTGTAATATATATACATACACATGCATATAGGGTTAAAAGCCAACAATTTTTTTTTTTAACAAGAAACAAACTTTTCATTGATAATATGAAAAGGAAGACAAAAGTTCAAGGATACAAGCTCCCAAAGGAAGCGAAAAAAGAATAAGAAAAACAATCAAAACGTAGAAACCAAAAACCCATGAAATAGATGAGATCTGAAGCCCAAGAAAAAAATTTCATCAATAAAACTTGCCAATACGAAAGGGCTGACTGTTGAGGAGGAAACCAAAACAATCACTTAACACAAATTGATCGCTAGAATGAAGAAGTAAAGAATCTGAAACCTCCCTCCACCAAGAGAAGACAAGAAAACTATAATATCTCAACCCTCAACCCTCAAAACCACTGCAAAGCAGAACCAACCAAAAACCTATTGCCCATAATTAAAGTCTACCTATTCAATGATTGGAACTAGGGTAAGGCCTACATCTTCAAAATGTTTAAAAAGTTTTGATTGTCAGTGCAAGAAGCTTTTTCGACTACCAAAGGTTGCTCCCAAGAAGGAGAAAGAAAGGCATCCATTTTTTCAGAACAGAATTGGTCGTTATCCTTTGTTTTTGAAGTTTTTTGGTTTCTCCCATCATGGTCGTGGTCCTTGGTTGATATTGCTCCTTGAAGTTGATTTTGTGTCTTTTATCGCTCTTGTTCAATTGGGTTGTATTTCCCTCTTTTGGTTCTTGTTTTCCCCGTCTTTTTTCTGTTTTTATGTTTCTTATTCTCAACCTTCGGGAGATTATATCTTTTAACAATAATAAATGTAAATACTTAGGATGGAATCTACTAGTTACATTGGCTTTCCTACAATACGATTGTCATACAATGAACAAACTACATCCCCATCTTATCTATACTTATCTTTTTTGGGGATGCCAATCTTACTGTGCACACAATTTTCTTGGGTTTTCTCAGTCATTTACACATTTGTGTAATCAATACATGACACAACTAGAGTGACAAAGATTGCAGAATTATACATAATTAAATAAATAGTTATGAGTATTGAATTAAATCTACCTTCACTGTCAAAGGCACGGACTCGAAGTGTRGCAAGCCCATCCAAGTCAAGTTTGATAGAATTGTGAAATATCTGGATTCTAGAAATTTTGTCGATAAAAACTTTGCAGCGAATCACAATTCCAGTTTGCACATCTGCAGCATAAACAGCAGTCTCCTTGCGACCACTATAAGGAGCAACAGATCTCAACAGAGCACTTGTTGAGCAGTGACTACTTACATTGTATTCCGGTAGAACATAAAGAATATCATGATGATCCCAAGACCTATAAAATGTTGTAATTAGCATTAAATAAATTAGCAGCGACCAGAAAAATAACCAAACAGTTACAATGAGATCATTCCCCCAAACATATCTTCTATGGGGGCCATAAGACAGTTGTACTTTTTAAAACTGCTACATATAACCATTGTGAATTTGCTATATTATTTTCTTGAGTTCTAACTTCTATGGGGGCCATAAGTCTATCTCCTTTTTCTCAAAAATCAAAATGTTATCAGCTTAAAAATTATTGACTTTTGCCTAATCTTAATCTTCTTCAGAGAAAAAACGAATGTAAACCCTTCCTCCTTGAAACTGCAGATTGTTTGACGAAGAATCAAACTTACAGATTGAAAATTAAAGTAAGAAGTCAAAGGATTGTTCTATGTCCCTTTACCTAATCTTAACTATGAATTGCTCTATACAAATTTTAAAAATTAAATAATAATAAGAAGAAGAAAACAAATCACTCGATAGTGTGTGCTGACAATGAGTCATATGTAGATAAGTTTAAGTGTCCGTTCGATGACTCAGTTAGCAAATGATTGCCTATTTCTGAGGAAACTTATTTATCTCCACGCCACAAATACCAGTTGCTCGATAGAATTAACCTAAGAAGCTTTCAATGGCATAGCAAGCCCCGTTTCCAGGTGAAGCGTGACTAAGTGAAGCGATAATCAGTAAGGATCATTACCAACTCATATAGAAGTTCCAAAGTTAGATTGCAATTTCTCTTCCGTTTACTACACTCTCTTCCTCAATTTCAGTGCTAAATAATCGAAAACATCAACTCGAAAAATGAGTAGCAAAGTGGGATTTACCATTTGAAGCATCCATCACTCCCTTGCAACCTATACTCCACTGGATTAGTCATCTTGGGAGGCAGCAATATATTCACATCGGCAATGTGCGGACCAGAGGCGAAATGAGGCGTCATTCCGCGGCTTCCACCCATCATCAGAAGAAGAACAAGCAGCACAATGGCGAAATTCAACATTTCCGGTTGAACCAAGGGTAAAACCAACCATGAAGTTCAAAACGGAACTCGGAAGAGAGATTTGTGGCGATGAATTGCAAGAGTATGAGCTTGAAATGGAGATTGAGATTGAAGAATGAAGATTGAGCTCGAACTTGGTTAATTGAGCAGGAGCTGAGAAGTTTCTTGAAGGGTAAGAGTAGAACCCTAGTGAAAATCACTGGGGTTTTGGAGACAGAGACGGTAACGGTTGACCCTGGGTTGTACACGTGGAGGTATATTATTGGGTTCCAGTAGCCAGCCGGGCGAACTGTGCGGAATATTTTTCATTATTCAAGGTGTTTTTTCCCCTTAATATTATATAATATAATATTTAGAATGTTATGATATTATTTCAGTCGAGGTTCGTATTTTCAAGTTTGGTACATTTTGGTCATTGTATTTTTAAAACGTTCTTATTTTCAACTTTAGTTATTTTAGTTCAGGTAGTTTAAAATGTTTATTTTTATTTCTTATTTAAAATATTTCTATTTTCAACTATAGTTYGTTTTAGTTCGTGTAGTTTCGAAATGTTTATTTTAATTTCTTACTTCTAAACCAAGGTCATTTTTGTTACGTTCCTACATTCCCGTACAATTATCAGTTTTAGTTCTTATTTGATTTTATGTAATATAATTTTAGTTAATTTATTTAGATTAAATAATAGAATTATAATTAATTTATATTAAATAATATAATTATAATTAATTTCCTAATAGTCACATAATTATGTGAAAGACAACTGTGCAACTCAGAACATTAAATTTAATGCTGGTTCTATAATGGAATGGCAATGAACCTAAGTTGAACCTAAATGTGTTTCAATATAGTGTCCATATGCGATTTCTAATTCATTTATGTTCACATCTATCTTCGGTACTACTCCCACCATTTCAACAGAACTAGTCAGAAACACGTGCGATGCACGAAAAAATTCATAGTTTTATTTTAGAGTTTAAAAGTATAAAAATTAATTAAACAATTAAAAAGTTTACTACAATTTGGCTTTTTTCTCTCAACGTTTTTATC